CACACACACACACACACACACACATACACATACATATACATACATACACACATACACACATACACACATACACATTTCACCTTTTCCCTTCCTTTAAAGAGCTACTTGCAGAGGGCTGGCTAGAAACTAATCCTTTAATTTTCATCCATCAGGGAAAGCAAAAAACATATCAATTTCTTACCAGACAGATGAATTTACTGATCTGTAAGTAGGAATTTTCAAGGACTCAAAAACTTCCCCTAACTTTGCCTACAGGCCACATTGGGCCATTGGGCCAGAGGTTGTCCAAACCTACACTTAAGCACTAGGACTTGAAACCATTCTGAACATAGTGGCTGACCCAAGTTTATGCTTATTGTGACACAGGGAGCTTCTAATACTCCTGGCTGTGTAATTTTTGAGGGGAAGGTTCATAGCAGTTCTTGCATAGTGAACTGATCCCTAAGGTTAATCTGCAGTATAAATTTAATTTGATATCCTCACTTCCATCAAAAATTGGTGGAAATTGTCATTTTTATAACACACTATTAATTGTCCATCAATGGTCCCTAAACCTTTCCCCATTCTTATAGAAGTCTTATTCCCAGTTTACCCTGACGAGAAAAAGTGACAATTAAACCAATTTATATCCATACTGTAGATACAACCTTTGTCTTTTAGTATCATGATGATTAAGGTATAGACCGGAATAAGATTTAGCTCAGCCTTTTTACATTTATTTCCAAATGTGAATTTGCAAAATGTAGATTGGCCACTTTATGTACAGTGTATTGTGCCTTTGTCATGAAATACAAGACAAATGAGGTCTCAGAAATATAAATAATAGAAATGGCTAATTATAATGTGAAGGGGGGAGGAACATAAAAATAAAAAAAAAGCTCACAACAAAGATCTCTAATATTACTGGTTAAAAACCAATTGGACTGTAAACTTTAATTCATCTACTAAATGTCAAGCACCATTGGATGTATCAGCGGTTGCCTCACCTCTCCTTGTTATTAATACATGCTTAGCTACAGTGGAAATTAGAAGGTCGGTAATAATAGCCTTCCAAAACACTTCAGATGGAAATTTCAGTTTGAAATTTGCTGAGAATTCTATTACTCTGGTAACGAGCTCAATAAAAGCTAAACGTTAAAATAAAAGCCTTTCATTTAGAGCTGCTTAGTTTGTGACAGTATACACGTGTGTGGTTCTTTCTTTCCTCTTTTTTTTCTTTCCTCTTTCTTTCCTTTCTTGCCTTCATTTCTTCATTCTTTCTTTTTTTCTCTTTTTCTTCTTTCTTCCTTCCCTCCATCCTTCCTTCTTTTCTACTTTCCTTTTTTCTTTTCCTCCGTCCCTTCAGGAATATATGCTGCATTAAGGTTCACCAGGATATAATGCAGATCTATAGGAAACTACCATATATACTCAAGTATAAGCGGAGTTTTTCAGCCCACTTTTTGGGCTGAAAAAAGCCACCTCGGCTTATACT